AGCACTACAAGTAAACCCCAACCTACTCGTACCAAGGAACCTGCATTCCCCTACAACCCCCTAGACCCCGAAACTGATCCCTAAACCTTATAAACCCCAAACGCCTTACCCTTACAAACCCTGAACCCCTGAACCTTATAAACCCTAAACCCTAAACCCCAGGCCACCGTCGCGAAGCAGCTCGAAGAGGTCGCGGGGCCTCACGCCGGATCTGGGAAAGGCGCGCAGGGCCTCGTTTTAGGGTTTAGAAGTTTTGGGTTTTGGGTTTGGGGTTTAGGGGTTACGGTTAGGGGTTTAGGGTTTTTCTTGGGTTGCGGGTTTAGGGTTTAGGGAATGTGGGGTAATTATCAGGTTTATAGGGGTTGAGAGTTCAGGGGTTGGGGTTTGGGGTATAGGAGTAAGTTATGGGAGTTGGGGGGTTTTACTAGGATTCTCTGAAATGTCGCGTGTCTTCAGGGTTCTACGTCGTTCTACGTGTGCAAGGGGACTCTCATCGTGTTCTACCCATACAGGTTCCATAAGGGCTAAATAAAGGTGAAGGGCGTTGTAACTAATTATGAGGGTCCAATGCAGTTATCTCCTTGAAAGGGTGCGTAATCTGCAAACGGAAACCTTTGGCGCGCCAGAAGTTTGAGTTCAGCGAGGAAAGCAGAAGGATCCTTCGGATGATGCAGGGGTCCACAATGTAGAACTTTACGAATCAGATGTGGGCTAAACCCTAAACCCTAAACCATATAAACCCTAGAAACCTTAATCCAGTTTATAGGAGGTCGTGGTCCGGGGTGTCCGGCTGAGGGAAGGCCGCTGGGGGCTTGATGATGGTTCTAGAGATCCCCGGCTGGGGTTTAGGGGATTAGGCCTCGGGGTTCAGGGCTTTGGGTATTTGGAGTTTTGGGGATTAGGGTTTAGGGATTTTGGGTCCTTGACGCCGAATTTCCAAGTTTGAGGTTGTGAACTTGGATAAAGCCTCATCACCCGAAACTACACCAGACTGCACCCAGCTGCAAGCCCAAGGAATGCCCTAAAACCCTAGGAGAGCAGGCCGCTATTCGAAGTTATGAAGCGTTCAATTGAGAGCCCGTCATTTCCTGCATTTTGTTGGGATGATTACACGAGGACCCTACCACAGCATACCAGTTACCTTAAGAGTCAAATTCTGCTCCGCCAGCTGCGAACGTTGCAGGATGGGCAGGACGATGCCGCGTCCACCACCGGCAGTTCCATCAGCGACGAAGCTGCAAGGAATGCTTGCAAGCTCCTGAACCCAATACCCCCGTGCACATATCCTGCAACCTCCCAGAATCCGAACTTGCATTCTAAATGAACACCCGCACATACGATAGTTGCAGATAGGGAGGTTTTGGTAATGTGGCAATGGTAGTTGAGGAAATTAACGAAAGGACAGTCGTCTCTTTTGTTTCCATCGCTCTGAATTGGCTGTTCGACTTCAAGGCAACCCCAAACATTGAGGCCCTAAGCCCGAAACAGCTTTCTGGAAAGAAGCCCCATGCATGATTGCAGGCCCCCAAGCCAGCCCAAGATGGGAGCAGTCCTTGCGGTCTTCTGCCCACTTGTTATGGTATAGCCTTAGACCGTGCTAAACCCCAAGCTCTAAACCCTAAAGTAACTTTAAAAATAATTGTAAAAAATAAATGGAAAAAACCTAAACCCCAGGCCATCGCACTCTCAAGTTTCAAAGAAAAGAACCCAGGCCCGTGGGCAACCGGAACGCTGACATCGTCTCGAAAAGCGGACGAAATCGAGGACCTTCTGCAGGCCAGGCCAATAGGGGTATTTGGTTTACCTGAAACCCGGGTTTAGGGGCTAGGGCCTCTACTTGCAGGATCAAGTGACTTAGTAAGTAAGGTTATAAGTCCCCTATTTGGGGTTATAAGCAATTATAAGTATAGTTACCTTATTTATAACCCTAGTTACTAAGTCCCATGATCCTTCAAGTGGGGTTAGGGAGATCTTCAAGAAACAACTCGCAACCGTGCATCCTAAACCCCAAAACCTTTGGCTAGCGAAGCGCGGAGTTCAAATTCGGATCCTGGATAAGCATAAAATGATAATATAGGCACCTGAATTCAGTGTTGTTGGTTTGCGTTAGCTTTTTGGCAGACGCATTGATTAGGGAACCCAAAGGGTCCTAAATACCTGTGTAAATGGTGCACAGTAGGGTTCCTTCATCAAGAACTCACATCACGGTGTCGGCAGGTACACTCCAGAGTACCTAGAACCAAACTCCCAAGCTCAAATCCTAGACCCTAGATACCACAACCGAAACCCTAGACTAGACATCAAAGCCTAAACCCTAGACCATAAACACCCAGTATATGTTTGTAATTCATACTATTCCTCAGCGTTCCTTGCTTCGACTATATAGCGTATTCGCTTCCTATTTTCATCATCAGCGAGACCCTTTTGCTTGAGGGAGGCGATGGAGCTGGGTTTTGTGTGATAGTACAGCTTGTTAGCAAGATAAATAGCGCTCCAATGATTGAGACGAGACTGGGGGGTATTTCTATGTATGTACGTATGTACGTATGTGTATATATAAATATGTATATATATATATATATATATATATATAGAGTTGTACAGCTTAGGGATATGCTCGCGCTTTCCCAGCAAAGAACTTTCTCCCAGGAGTCTCAATTCCTAAGCCCTACACCCTGAACCGCCCAATCAAGGTAGGGATCTGATGAATTGCTGAGATGCTTCCTCCGAGTATCTGTAGTACTTTCGTAAGCATACATATCACTGGGGAACACTTCGAGCCCGAGGTACCGGCAACAAACCGCACATGTTAGCACTGGGCCCCACTTCGAGCCCAAGGCACCGGCAACAAATCGTACATCTTAGCACTGGGGCCCACTTCGAGCCCAAGACACCGGCATCACATCGCACATTTTAGTCACTGGGCACCACTTCGAGCCCAAGACACCGGCAACACATCGTACGTCTTAGCACTGGGCCCCACGTCGAGCTCAAGACGCCGGCAACAAATCGCACATCCTAGCACTGGGGCACACTTCGAGCCCAAGATACCGGCAACAAATCGTACGTCTTAGCACTGGGCGCCACTTCGAGCCCAAGACCCCCGCAACAAATCGTACCTTCGAGCCCAAGACACTGGCAACAAATCGTGCATCTTAGCACTGGGTACCACTTCGAGCCCGAGACACCGGCAACAAATCGTACATCTTCGCACTTGGGCACACTTCGAGCCAAAGACACCGGCAACAAATCGTATGTTTTAGTACTGGACCCCACTTCGAGCCCAAGACAGCGGCAACAAATCGTACATCTTAGCACTGGGCCCCACTTCGAGCCCAAGATACCGGCAACAAATCGTACATTTTCGCACTCGGGCACAATTCGAGCCCAAGACACCGGCAACAAATCGTACATTTCAGCACTGGGGCACACTAGAGCCCAAGACACCGGCAACAAATCGTACATCTTAGCACTGGGGAACACTTCGAGCCCAAGACACCGGCAACAAATCGTACATCGTAGCATTGGGCCCCACGTCGAGCCCAAGACACCTGGGACCCACGTCGCGCCCAAGACACCGGCAACAAATCGTACATCTTAGCACTCGGGCATACTTCGAGCCCAAGACACCGACAACAAATCGTACATCTTAGCACTGGGGCACACTTCGAGCACAAGACACCGGCAACAAATCGTACATCTTAGCACTGGGCCCCACTTCGAACCCAAGACACCGGCAACAAATGGTGCATCTTAGCACTGGGCCCCACTTCGAGCCCAAGACACTGGCAACAAGTCGTACATCTTAGCACTGGGGCACACTTCGAGCACAAGACACCGGCAACAAATCGTACATGTTAGCACTGGGCCCCACTTCGAACCCAAGACACCGGCAACAAATCGTACATCTTAGCACTGGGCCCCACGTCGAGCCCAAGACCCCCGCAACAAATCGTAGATCTTAGCAGTGGGCCCCACTTCGAGCCCAAGACGCCGGCAACACATCTTACATCTTGTCACTGGGCCCCTCTTCGAGCCCAAGACACCGGCATCAAATCGTACATCTTAGCGCTGGGGCAAACTTCGAGCCCAAGACACCGGCAACAAATCGCACATCTTGGCACTGGGGCCCACTTCGAGCCCAAGAAGCCGGCAACAAATCGCACATCTTAGCACTCGGCCCCACTTCGAGCCCAAGACACCGGCAACACATCGCGCATTTTCGTCACTGGGCACCACTTCGAGACCAAGACACCGGCAACAAATCGTACATCTTAGCACTGGGCCCCACTTCGAGCCCAAGACGGCGGCAACCCTGACCTTCGAAGGCTTCGAAGCCTTCAAAGGCTTCGAAGGGGTCGGATGAAGGGGGGGGGCTTCGAAGCCTGCGAAGGGGGCCGTGAAGGCTTTGAAGCCTTCGAAGGGGAGAATGAGGGGGGGGGGGCTTCGAAGACTTCGAAGGGGGATGAAGACACGGGCTCCGCTTCGAGCCCAAGACACCGGCAACAAGTCGTAGCTTCGAGCCCAAGACACCGGCAACAAATCGCACATCTTGGCACTGGGGCCCACTTCGAGCCCAAGAAGCCGGCAACAAATCGTGCATCTTAGCACTGGGCCCCACTTCGAGCCCAACTCACCGGCAACGAATCGTACATCTTAGCGCTGGGGCACACTTCACACTTCGAGTCCTCTCCCCACGTCCTGTTTCGCCGGCTTCTTTTGGACCTTCCCAAAGTCCTGAGCAGCTGCAGCTGGCACCCTTTCTTTGCTTAGCACTCGCTGGGCCTAAACTTCGAAATCTGTCATTGGTCGGGTCCCAACCCCAACTCGTTATAGCCGAGTCTAGGGAACTTCCAGCTGCCTACCTGCTCGCCTGCCTGGGCAGGCAGGCAGGCTGGCAAACTTGTATTGTGTTATAATGCCGTATTCGCATAGCACCTTAGTTTATGGACTTCAATTAGGATTGCATTCCTTCGATCAAAATAGGACCCCCCCCGAATATGGTTTGGGAGTCTGCGCGCATCCTTCAAAGCAAGGTCAAGCATCAGGGCAGCCACCCCCGCGTCGGGCCACTCAGAAAGCTCCCAGAAAGCTCCAGTTGACTCTACACTGCCACCTTGAGGGTCCATGTATCTGTGAGTTAGGGCCTAAAGGGGATCCTGCATGGTACTTTAAGGGCTCTTTTTCAGCGGAGCCCAAACCCTAAGGCGCTAATCCGTGCAATATCTTCTGAACCCTTACGTTGAGTTGAGGCAGGTAGAAGCTGAACAATCTAAAAGAAGTGTGGGGTGCAGGGTTTAGGGGCTACATACAGAAAGCTCATGCAAATAATGCTGCGCGTTCAAATCTGCACTGTTGTAGGGCTGTCCTTTTGTTGTTGCATGGAATTGAAATTTCGTTCTCACCATTTCATTTTGCAGTGCTTTTGGGGGTTCATTTTCCTGGGTTGACCCCGATCAGAGAAGCCAAATGCTGCAAAATGCCCTAAGCAATCAAACCTGGACCCTGCCAGCGAATGAAAGCTCCGAGCGCCTCTCATCTGTTCGTTGCATAGTTCGAGGCTGTGTGAAGGGGTAATATAGAGGCCTCAAGATTTGCCTATACGATCTTAGGGGTTCCGTATTAGAATTATAGTAGAATGGCCCCAAAACCTTATTCTAATTCGTAAGGCCCCTATAGTATGAGTTATGATGGTTTTACTGAACACTCATTTGGGATTTGTTTTACATTCTTCGTGGAACGTAACCAACGGATGACTGGCAACATGTTTGTACTTTGGGCTCAAGAGCTTGTCTGTTTGTTCTGGTGCATAAAAAGCCTCGATGTTGTGATGTTGTGTTCCATGCAAGCCTTAGGGTCAAAGGGTTTGGGCATCTGGGCTTAGAGCTCATGGATGGCTTACCTCCTCGTCTGGTAGTGTTGCCTGGGCAACTTGGGTTACAACTGCGTCTCTAGCCTATCTTCAAGCATAGAAATTGCATCCCTACACGCCCAGAAATTCCTTAAAGCCTCAACCATACCCCGTAAGAATCCAAAACTTGCTTCGAATTTACATATACTCGCCCGAATACTAAGCTACAGTTTCTATTATCCTACAATACCCAACGACGCGAGTACTGGATCCCTTTGGAACTTTACGGCACACCCTCAACCATACAGAGACTCTTCAGCCCCCCAAGAAGGACAAATTCAGTCTCGTCTCGGAGCGACTCAAAGCCATTGACGCGGACAGATCTGCGGGCGGAGGGGGGCGGTTTAGGGTTTAGGGTTTAGGGGCGGTGATCATGGCAGGTTGTAGGTAGGCTTATTGCTCTTTCTTTTCAATTTCTGAGTGTCACATAAGAGACATAGTGTGTCTTGAGGCAACACAAGATATTTTTAGCGCATGGGTTGAAGGCTTGCAGCTAGAGTGTATCGACTATGTTTTAAACTGACAATGCTGCGCTCCAAAACGATAAGCCTTAAATCATGCTGATACACTTGGGCCCCGAAACCATGTGTTCATGCGGTTTGGCCTATGATTCTGCAAGGTACCTCCGGGCCAAATCGGAGTCCGTTAGTTTTAGGTTTCAGGGGGTCCCGAAGGTGTCAATGCTACTATAAGGGCCTAAATAACTATCTATATTATTGTGGTGGTTCCTTATAAAAGCTATAGAGTATACTATATCCCCAAATCCTATTCTAATTGTTAAGGCCCCTATAGTAGCAGCCTCAGGGTCACATGGCGTGGGGCTTGGTGGCTTGGTGGTTCTCCGGTTCTGGTTTTCCTGGCAAAGATTCGAGCATGTGTACAGTTTCACGGTTTTGGGTGGCAACGGGGTTTACCCTGATTCTTGGGAGTATCGGAATACAGTGGTCACTAGTAACTTGATTAGCAGGATATTTCAATTTGAAGACAGCTTGCCCCTACCGCCCCCCTCAATTTGCATCGACCTCTCTGCCAACCTCAAGATCCGTGAGCTGCCCAACCCCTAAACTCTGAACCCCATGAAGCGGCCAACCCCCTAACCCCCCGGACCCTGCAGATCAATTTTGGAAACCCTTTCAACTACCCTTACGTATCCCTTCGAAGGGCCCCACACCCTTAACCTCAACCCCTATGTAAACCCTAAAACCGCAGCCGATGATCTGGCACAGGCTTTGAAAGCCTAATTCAAGTAAAGGAGCCCTTAAAGCCAGTAAGACCAAAGCTAGATCTAAACCCTAATCCCAAAGCTCTAAACGCCCTATTTCCTATTAGACCCCTATAAACCCTAAACCCCTAAACCCTAAGTATATAGCACCTGAGCGGCCCCGAATGCCGAGCCGAAAGAGAGGAGCTGGAGCCCGAAGCAGAAGCTGAGGCGCTAAGGCGTGCGCAATGGCCCAGACCTTCCAAAACCCCTTGATTAAGGAATAGACCTTAAATTATAGTAGGATCCTTAATATGAGTTAAGGTATATTCCTTAATTAAGGGGTTTTGGAAGGTCTAGGTGGGTTCCTTTGCTCCTTCAGGGCTTCGTTAGTTAAATGCAGGGGCCTGAATAATTAGAATAGGGTTCTGGGGTATACTATACCATACGCTTTCTGTAATTATGATAAGGATCCCAAAGGAATAAGACCAGTATTCACCCAGGTAAGGGGCTTAGGATTGAGTTTCAGGGTTTCAGATTAAGGGGGTTAGGATCAATGTTATGGCTTGAATGTTTAGGGTGCAGCAGGGTTCAGGTTTTTAGCCTGTTAACTGTAAGGGTTCCTGGAAGGGCACCTTAGAAGGAGTGTTGGGGGCTGTAGGATTTAAGATTCAGGGCTTCCAGGTTTCGTTAGACTCTGGATCGTAGGTTTTCCAAGCTTACTATTCCTCAATAGAATGTCGTTGTTTGCAGAACCGTCGTCAGCAAAGGACCCTTTCTCCTTCCAACGGGTCCAACGGTCCACATGTCTGGTCGAAAGGGTTGTTGTGGTTCCCTCCTCCCTTGTATGGAACTGCTTAAGCGGTAAGCTTCGCTCCCTTCCCCAAAAATTGCCTTGATTCCGCAACCCGAAAACCGCCGTCTTGCAAATTATGAACGTGACAGTTTCTGCAGGTTTCTGGAGCTCCCTGTGGAGAAGGCAGCCAGTCTTCGCAAAGCATTTCGACCCCAAACCCCAATCACAAGGCCTTAAACCGTTAATCCTAAACCCTGAACCTCCACCCTATTCAAATCAATCGGTGCACTATCCCTAGGCCTCTTCTAAACCGGTTGAGGGTATGACTTGTGGTTGAGGGATTGGCATCAGCAAGTTTCTGGAAGTTTCTGAGTCGGTAGAGGGGTTTGGAGCACGCAAGGGTGTAGATCTTTGTACTTGCGGGAGTGGATGGTGGGTTTAGGGTTTTGGGGAGGTTTTTGGCATGGACTGCGGGATACTGCTGGGCTGTGGGAAGTGTGCAATTGCTTGTGCTGTTTGGAAATGATATCTCTTGAGCCCCAACCCGAGCAGCCATATAGTACAGGATAGGGGCCTTAACAATTAGAATATGTACTGGGGCCTATTATAGTATATAGTTATAAAAAAAGGCCCCCCATAATCGAACCTTTATGCCACAGCCCTAAGCCGACGCCCTGAGCCCGAAGCTCTGAAATAGGCAGGAGGCCGGCGGCGACGACTTCTGGCCCAACTTGGCGAAAACACCAAACAGATGGACCCCCGAAATTGGATTTGGGCGCTTAATGAAGGACCCTAGACCCTTAACCCTAAACTTAAGTTTCAGGGTCTGCAGTGTGTTTTTTTCTTTGGCGTTGCTTAGGGGTCCAGGTCCGCGCATGGTTATTAAGTGTACTCCTGCCTGGTAGGGATGTCTACACATTGATTTCAGGGCCGCAGAATCTACGTGCACTGTTTCGCTGGTTAGAGCTGAGCGGATTCGGGTTCAGGGTTTAGGGCGTCAGGGTTTGTACATATGGGATTGGCATTTCGGGGAAACCCTAAACCCTATTCAGTGGATTTGAGGTTGTTTCATAGGGTTGAAGCTTTTCAGGGTTACAGGGGTGCGGGGTTTGTGTAGGGCAAGGCTCAGGCTCAGGATGTTAGGCCCACTCGATTCGATCATGTTCTACACTCCACATTCTGTACTGTTCTGCGGGTCCAATACGTGCGAAGTTGATACAGAGGCCGGAACGACTAGTCAACGTATTCCTTAAGGCCCCCAATCAAAAGTGCCTTCTGCATCGTAAAAGTATGTGCTCCAAAACTCTTAAGTCTTCAACCCCTGCATGATCGCTCAGTTTAGTCGTTCATCACGTCTTGCTGCAATTGGGGTAGTGTCCGGGTTTATGTTAGGGATTTGCCCCAGTGTATACAGGGCTCGGGTTGAATATCGCTGGGCGTATGTTTGAGATTGCTATGGGGATAGTGACTGATAGTGGCAATAAACCTCTACTTCACATCCCTTCTTTTGTATGATAGTTAATTAGTTACTCCACAATGTCGCCCTCCGATCATGCACTGATGATGCTGTATGTGAAGATGTAAATCTGGAATCGAAGGACGTGTGGCTTCGCCGTCTGGAGAATCGTGAGGCACGGGAAACATGCTGATGCGTCACGAGTCTTTCAATCTCAGGCGAGGTGTCGTGTTCAGACAGCCCGGAATCCGTCAACCCTATACCGTAATCTCGTACATGTATGAAGGAAACTCCTGCACCCCTTCTAAAACCCTTTTGAAACCCATGGAGATTCGTAGAACAATCGCAAAGCCCACGACCCCCCACAAGCACACCCTATTTAAAAGTGGTTGCCCAAATTATGGTCCCTTTCCGGGTCCCTAATACAATACGGCACCTACTATTTAGGGTACCCAAAAAGGGACCCCATTTCGACAACTACCCATTTGTGAAAGACGTGGGCTTCTTTCCGTTCCAACGGCCAGCGTTGTGTGCTTTGTGTGCTTGGAACTCTCATCGACGCACGACCTGGAACTACCAAAAGCCGAGGGATCCGAGACCCTTTACCTAAACCCCCAAAAGTAGGTAAAATAATGGCCCAACACCTATAAAAAGCTATTATTCTACATACTTTGGGGGTCCAGGTATAGATGCAGCCCTACATGCCCTCAGCCCTACTCTTCTTTGATAAGGCGCCAAGTGTGGGCCCAATGAAGAAGCTCATGGCCCAAACTGAAACCCTAGACCCTAAAACCGTAAGTCCCTAAAACCCCAAAACCCTAAAACCCTATAAGCCGTCAAACATTAAACCCTAAACATTCCTAAACCCTATAAACCCTAAGCCCTAAACCCTAAACCAACCAACCTAAGCTCTAAACCCTAAACCCTAAACCCTAAACCCTAACCAAACTGCTTTTCTGTAACCCTCAGGCTCCTCGACCTCGGATGGAGAGCCCACAGCCGTCTGAATGCTCCTGGGCATGCGAGGTTTAGTGCTTAGGGTGTTCAGGGTTTAGGTTTTGGATGTTCATGGTTGCGGGTTCAGGGCTTAGGTTTAAGTTTAGGGTTTTAGGGTTTAGGGTTCAGGGTTCAGGGTTTGGGGTGTAGGGTGTTCAGGGTTTCGGGTTTAGGGTTCAGGGCTTAGGGTTTAGGGTGTTCAGGGTTCAGGGTGTAGGGTTTTAGGGTTTTAGGGCTCAGGGTTTAGGTTTGGGGTTTTAGGAGTTTAGGGCTGAGGCTTCGGGGATTAAGACTCGTGAAGAAGATGTTTAAAGGCCGGGGGCCCACGCCTTGAAGGTGTATCCATGTCTGTGTGCCTATGTCTATCTATCGACCTATTTGTCCATATATGTACATTGTACATATATATATTTTTTTGCATGACCTAAACACACAAACACACATATATATATATATATATATATAAGGACCTGTTGGGCCCGGTGCACACCTTAGGTCGACACTGCAAGAGGTTGCAAGGCCCAAATACTGTATTCGGAATGGTTTTGGATTCAACACCTCTTTTGGGGATACTTGGACCAAAGGTCATGTTCTTCGGAGTCCTAACAATAAACCCAAGGTGTAGTCGGAATCGGTATTGCCAGGGCCCCCCGAACAACAGGGCCGCAATCTCATCCCCTAATCCTGTAATCCCTTGATCCCTGAACCCGGAAACCTGAAAGCATTGAAAATTGAACCCCTAATGCTGAAGTCTAAATCCTGCAGCCCAAAGCCGCGATCCCTAGCCTACACATCAAGGGCCTGAGCCATCAAGGCCCCAAATCCCCGACAGCACATTAACATCCTAGATACCAGCGAGAACCTTTATCAAACCCTACCGGAACCCTTAAAGGAACCCTTGACACGAACGGAGCCCCCCCTCCCTTTAGAACTTCCTTGTCCCTGAACCCTAAACCCAGAGACTCCAATATCCCTTAATTAAGGAAGATTCCTTAAATCATATTAGGGATCCTACTATAAGAATATATTCCTTAATTAAGGGATATTGGAGTCTCTGGGAACCCTAAACCGCGAAGATCTGACAGGTTACGAACCCCGGGTCGGAAGGCTGGTGACGCGTGTGGGGTTCGACAGGGATTAGGCGTTTAGTATTTTACTATATAGGGTGCCCAAAAAGGGACCCTGATTTAGGGAACTACCCATATATATATATATATATATATATTTATACATATATATATATATATATATTTATACATATATATATATGTATATGTATGTATGGATGTATAGGAGAGAGACCGCTGCGGGGGCTCAGGATGTGGCGTTTCTTTCTGTGGCTGTGCTGAGTGCTCCGGGCTCCGGCTTCTGAGGTAGTACTGTAACCTATATGGGAGTTTCCGAAAGTAGGGGTACTTTATTTGGGGGGTACTTATAATAAGCTTACTCTAAACCCTAAACCCTTTCACGCCTTCTCTTGAGGGATTTCGCTTGCACGGTTCTGCGGAAAAAGTCGTTAAACAGAACCCAAAAACCCTAAACCTCTCACCCCAACGAAGGCCACGAAGGCCCTTTCGCCGGGGCTTCGTCGTGCACGGCCCAGTGCGGAAAGGATTTGGGCTCAGGCCCTGCCGGTGAGATGGGTGTCGGTTTTCGGTTCACGCTATAGAGGTCTTTGTTACACATGTAGAAGCCTAAACAACGCGCAGCATTTTTCCCTGGGCTGTCCTGATTTGTTGACTATACTGTAGCACACTCCCCAAGCCACATTCTATTGATTAAGGCCTCTAGAGGGCTTGGTTCTAACCCGTAGAGAACCTTGATAGAGCTCTTGGAGAAGCCGTAAAGAAATCTTGCAGGGTTGGATCTGCATCATTGTCTCCTTATACAAGCCTTAAAAGCACCCTCACCTGCTTCTTCTGACCTTCGAGACTTAGGGAAGCCCAAAGCCCGAAGCCCCTGGCAATCTCAACCCCGTGCAGATGGACGGAACAAGGCTTCATGATAGAAGTCTGACTATTGGTAATGATATCCTGACGGTTTGGGTTTTAGGGTTTTAGGGTTTAGGGCTTAGGGTTTTAAGGTTTACGGTCTAGGGAGGCTGATCGGGCTCTAAAACCCGGGATTGCTGTTTGAGATCCTACCTAGCCCCCTCCCCACCCCAAGTTCAACCCAATAGCCCACAACCTTCAATCGTAAGCCGACTAGACCCCTAAACCTAAATCCTAAAGCCCAATCCCTAAACCCTAAACCCTAAACCGCAATACCAGGGAGCCCAGAAGCACAAAACCTTCAATCCTAAGCCTCCTTCGCCGGCCGCAGCACGCCGGGCTCAATCCAGGGGCAAAGGAGCAAGGAGAATCCTCGAAGCCTCATGGTTGCTCCTGAAATGTTTTTTTTTGTTGTTTTTCCTAGGGCTTGTTCAGGGGAATTACAACTGGGGGTTTCCGAAAATGAGGGACCCTAATGTAGTACCCTAAATAGTAGAATCCTTATTGTAAGGACCCCCGAAATAAGGTACCCCTAAATTTTCGGAAACTCCGAAATTGAGTTGTTTCTGTTCTTCAGCTCCGGCAGTTTACGCGAGCCGGAATACACAAGTACCTGGAAGCTTGCAACCCAAATTTTGTTTGAGCGGTTTAGGGTTTGAATCAGGGGGGGCTTCTGGCCTAAACAGCCGAGGAAGGTACCGATCATGATCGAGTACTCGCACGGCCGATGGGGTAGCCTTGGTTGCATCCCTTTGTAAAGCCCACGGTCTCCGGTAGTACCCTAATTTTACATGCCCGCCCGTTTAAGTTTAGGGGCTCCTTATTGAAACGGAATACTGTGGAAAGAGGCCCCCCGAAGCCAGGTTCCCACGTCCCTTTTACCCAGGTTCACCTGAATATGGAAACCTTCGGGTTTTGTGTTCAATCATAGGTTTCCTGGATCTACTAAACCCTATACTTTTTTGTAGGTTCTTCTTATGAGCCCTACAATATGGGAATTATAGGGACCCTACAAAAAAGGTAGATTCTGGTGGATTAAGGTACTCCCCCGAATTTAGCCAAAGAGACAGGAAGAAGGGTTTTCTCGGCGAGGATCCTACTATCTACAAGGCCTATATTAGGGTGCCTTAGCTTCAGAAACTGCTGTACCCTAAACCCTAAACCCAATCTTTCGACGCAGGTATGTTTGTACTCTTAAAATGCCGCGGCTCCGTGATACCCAAAAGTCTGCTGTGGTCTGTCCCATGCGCCCTGGCCACCGTGCTGATGCATCTCTATTGGGGAGAGGAGAACCCGATCATGCTGGTAGTTGCTTTTTGCAAGGCTTTAAAGCTCGTTTGCTGTTGCTGGTTATGGTACGTTTGATTACTTTTGTTGTTCTTGATGCCTTTTGGAATTGGCTGGTATAGTTTCGATATTTGGTGTGCCTCAGAGTCCTCCGAGGGATTAGCGTGACGCTTTCCCTACACCTTGCAGACTTCCATTCCTGTCGAGTTTGGAGTTTACGGCTTATCATACAGAGACTTGAATGATGACTTACAGCATCAGGTTTTCGTCCCCATTAAAAATGAATCATATAATCTAACTACCACCGAAATCCCAATCTTATTATTCAGGCCCCTATATCTAGGAACCCACATAGTAGCACTTATAGAACCCTTGAAGGAGCATGATTCTAAGCAATACCCAGAGGCCCCAAAGTAGTTCCTTTTTGGGGTTCATATATAGAATCCTAAAAGGTACTCCCAACAAGGAACTACTATGGGGCCTCTGGGTATACCCTACATTATCGGTTTAGAGTCGTCCTTGTGGGTGCTGCCAGTCTTGGGTTTGGGGTGTTTGTGTTTAGGGTTTTAAGGTTTAGGGAGCGAGGGCTTAGGGTTTGAGGGTTTCAGGTTCAAAGATTAATGGTTTAACCGGTCTAGGGTATAGGGATTGCGGTTTAGGCTTCATGGATTAAGCTGAAGCTTAGTATGCAAAGGACGCTGACGGAGACCTGTGTTAGACAACCCTTTTGTTTGATGGCCCAAACGCAGCATCCCGTGTATAACCGCTGCCGATGCAGTGTTGATGCACGGGGCGTTATCATTCTAATCTACAGTAGGGGGCGGATAGACATGAATGGGCCAACATGGTTCACAGTTCCTACTAAATCAGAATCCAGTCAACGCAGCCTAAGCTCCAAATACTCAACCCCAAAAGCCCTTTCAAGCCTTAAAGCTACACCCAAACCCCTTAATTCCTCTTGCAGGACAAGGGCGACTCGAATCGGGAGCTGGAGGGCATCGAATCGATTTGGTCTGGATACACCTTCGTCCTTGGCTTCCTCATCGTTTTCCGAAGCAACCAAGCTTACTCACGATTCTGGGAAAGCGCACCTTGAACCCTGATTTGAGTGCAGGGTCTATATGGTTTAGGGTTTAGGGGTTTAGGGTTTAGGGGTTTAGGGTTAATAACCTCACCCCATGCGTAGCTAGAACAGGTGAGCTTATTTTACACGAGCAGCGGGGAATGGCTCAGCGCCTTCAGCAATCTCATGTGCTTCTGCAGCAGGGATGCGGCCAAGGAGGCCAGCTGGGGGCTCTCGGGGCTCGGCGCGAAGATTCCGAAGCCCTAGACTCTGAACCGTAACCGCGAAACCTGGTTGTGTTCGCCCCAGGATAGGAAGCCGAGAAGCTCGGCACCCCCAGGCCCAAAGCCTTGCACGGCCAAGTCACTACGGCCATGGATTTTATTTACTCCAATAGAACAACAGCATGACATGAGCTCGTTTTGTGAGAAGCCAACAGCATGCATGCAAAAGAACTGTGCACACACATTTACAGCGGAGCAGATGCTTGCGAGGAAGCGTTAGTTGCCAAGTAGCAACGGGCCGAACATCGTAAGGAATCGTAAGGCCTGGAAGCCGTAGCTACTACCCTCGGTCCTCAACGTCTTGACCCACCTCCTAATGACAAGTTGATTTTGGTTTGTTACTCAATTGTGGTCAACTCCTAAATAGTTCCGCTCCACTCTGATACTCATCGCGCGCAGAAAGCTGCCGCAGATGCAACCCGGCCGAACATCCAAGCCCAATTCGAAACGCTAAGCCCTAAATCCTAAACTCCTCAACCACATCTCCCTAAACAGGCTGAAGTGGAAAGGTTCCGGCAATATGTGATGCTAGGATTTGTTCAGCGATGTGCTTGTTTTACTCTGTTTTCGGCCCTTGCTGTATTTTGAAGCTAAGCTTCAACAATGCCGGCTCTTGTCCCGGGGTCACTGAAGAGCCCAACCCTAAACCCTACACCCTAAACCCAGGATGCGCCTTCTGAGCCTCCTCCACTGCACCGCCCTGCAAGGCATGCGGCTGGGCCCAGCTTGGCAATTCCCCCAACATCAAGGCCCTAAACCCAAAACCCCAAGCCCCTCAACACTAAACCCTAATCACTACACCCCTTAGCCTCAGGTTTTCTAGGCCGAAGGTTTTCGATCGGGGTGTAAGGGGTGTATGCATTTAGGCTTCTGACGAGATTCTTTCCGTATGGAGCTCAGACCTTAACCCTTGAGCTCTTGAGTCCCTTACTAAACTCATCGCTGGGCACCCCGGCAGGAGTTCCAATGAGAAGCCAACATACAAAGAAGCCTCGGGTCCCACAGCCCTGAGATAGAACCTGAACCGCAGCCCTAAACCACTTTAGGGCTTTGGGTTAAGAGGTGTTTTTTTTCGGTTTGGGGTGTAAAAAGGGTTGGTATTCAGGGTTCAGGATTACTGAACCCTTTCTTTCGGCCTGAAGACCTCGAGAGCGCAAAGCACTCCATCCAAGGTGCGAACTCAGAGACGACAGCATGGAGGCCCCTTGAACTTAAATTTCGTTAGTAGGGAATGGAAGAAGAGTAGCAATAGTAGTAGTAATAGTTGTACCCCATTCCTCCATTCCCTACTAACCAAAGGTAAGTGAAGACGCGTAGACTTGGGAGCAAAATCAGTGATCCTCCAATGGTCCGTAATCAGATCTTACAGCTGAATATACCCCTTACTTAACGAATGTATCGGTTAATTAGGTATTTTGCATGATCCAGCTTTCAGCCTTAAAACGGCATAGTTGATGGATAAATATTCGTAGTGTCAAAAGTCAAAATCCATAATGCCCGTCCTATGAGCCCGCTGTTCAGGGTTTAGGGTTCAAGGGGACTACAAGGTTTAGGTTAATATAAGGTTTCGGGATTAGGGCTGGATTAGGGTTCAGGGTTTCAGGGATTGTAATTAACCTTCATACTTCGGGATGATGAGGCCTTGGGATTCGAAATCATGAAGGTGTAGAAATTGGGGTTCAGGGATGGGGATTGGCTTCTGGCGTTAACCGTATGTTTTATTATTGCGCCTGCGTTATGTGTATAAATGCTCAGTCTTTTATAAAATTTCGTCGACTGGAAAACGTCAGACTCTGTCCTGTTATGGTTTCGGGGTTTGGGGTTTAGGGTGGGTGTTGGGTTTAGGTCAAACTCAAACTCCCACCCCGAACTCCTTGCGTTTGGAGCAGAATGCCAAGCCTGGAGCACCATGGGACAAAGAGGCTTGAGCCTGACAGGTTCTGTGGGCTGCGGGGTCTATATTGTAGAAGGCCTTCGGGGTTTGATATTGTAGAAGGCCT